GGAAAACAATATGGATGGTCCTTCAAAAACTAGAAATTGAGCTTCCATATGACCCTGCAATACCACTTCTGGGAATATATCCTGAGGATGCAAAAAAGCACAGTAAGGAATGACATCTGTACCTATATGTTCATTGCAGCACTGTTCACAATAGCCAAAATCTGAAAACAACCCAAGTGTCTTAGAACAGATGACTGGTTAAAGAAACTTTGGTACATCTACACAATGGAATACTATCCAGCTGTCAGGAGAGATGAAGTCATGAACTTTGCTTATAAATGGATAGACATGGAGAGTATCAAGCTAAGTGAAATGAGTCAGAAAGAGAGGGATAGACATAGAAGGATTGCACTCATTTGTGGAGTATAAAACAACATAACATGAGGCTGACACCTAAGGATAGCAGATACATGGGACGGATAGATTACTCCATAGCTGGAAGCCTGCCTCATGAGCAAAGGGGAGAAGGCAGCTGGAATAGAGAAGGGATCACTAAGAAAAAGAGGGCTGGAGGAATCGGTTGGGATGGGAGATGTGTGCAGAAAGCAGATAAAGGACTAAATATGTAACCTCTCAGGGTCTGTATTGCAAACCATAATGCCCAAAAGTAGAGAGAGATTATGGGGAATCGTGTCTGCCATGGAGGCAGGGAGAGGTGGGAAAGGGGAGGGTATACCGGGGATATTGGTGGTGGGGAATGTGCACTGGTGGAGGGATGGGTGTTTGATCATTGTGTGATTGTAACCCAAACTTGAAAGCTTGTAACTATCTCACGGTGATTCAATAAAATTGAAAAAAAATCTGTTCCCCAAAAGCAAGTTTTAAATTTTTAAATTAATATTCTGTGGTTTACAATGCTATTAAGAATGTTTTTTTCATTTTGTGATTGTAACCGAAACATGAAAGCTTATAACTATCTCACAGTGATTCAATAAAATTTAAAAAAAGAATGTTTTTTATGCACATAATTCCAACACCACACTCATCACCAGTGTACCCATTCCATCTCCCAAGGACACCAACAACTTTCCCTCCCAATTTCCCCAACTCAATTGTGTGGATCAATTCTCCCATTATGATGCCATCTTTCTGTGTATCTTTAAGTCCCACATATGACAGAGATCATTCTACACCTATCCCTCTCCTTCTGACTGACTTTACTCAGCATGATATCCTCTCCTTCCACCCATGGACCAACAAGTTATTTTCCAATTTTGGACACAATTGTCTGATGCAAAGGACTCACCACAAAACAGTGATTGCTAATGCTCTCAACGTTGTCAGGCATTTTGCAGGATGATTAGTTAAATTGTCATATTTTTTTAACATCTGAGGCTGTCACAATCAAAAGAAACTTTTAAAAATATGACAATGATGGTGACCAAGTGGCCAGCACATTCTGACTATGTGGAAAACCCTGAGTCCAGCCCTTCACATTGCGTATACCCCCACCTCTCAAGCACCATCAAATATGCTCCTAGGGTCCCCCAAGTGCCAGTGTAATTAGCTCTTTTTTTAAGAAAAAGAAAAGACACAATAATTAAATGCAGCTTAGTATCCTGGATGATGCTGAAGTAGTAAAAGGATGTTCATTTTTTGGGTCTTCGGGCCACATGGGTGATGCATAGGACTTCGCTCTGGTTCTGCATTCAAGGGTCACTCCTGGTAGGGCTTGGTTGGCCATATGCAGTGCAGGAAATGGAATTAGGTTCAGCAGCATGCAAAGCAAATGCCTTAACCCCTGTAGTATCTCTCCAGCCCAGAAAGTCAACTTTAAAGGTAAGGAATTTGAATAAAATATTGACTCCAGGTAATAACAGAATATTATGGGGCTGGTGAGATAGTTCAGTGGGTAAGTCACTTGCCTTGCACACAGCCAACCCGGGTTCAATCCCTGTGCCTTACATAGATCCCCCAAACACTTCCATGAGTGATCCTTGAACAAAGATGCAGTAGTAAGCCCTAAACATAGCAGGTGTAGCCCCCCAACAGTAATCAAAATAATTTCCTGTGCATAAAAATACTTGTTATATAAAAGAGTGATATAAAAATCCATATTGTAAAAAAAAATCAATATTGCATCATCCATTGTGGCCAAAGTATCAGTGTAAGATGTTATGTGTGTATGAAAACTCTCACGCTTATTATCTCAAATTGTCTATAAATCTAAAACTTTCAAAATAAAAAATTATTTTAAAAATGAGGAGGAGCGTCCATAGAGATAGTACAGTGTGGTAAGGCATTTGCCTTGCACATGGCTGACCCGGATTCCATCCCCGATATCCCATATGATTCCCAAGCACTGCCAGGAGTGATTACTGAGCAACAAACCAGGAATAACTCCTGAGCATCACTGGGTGTGGTCCCCAAACCAAAATAAATAGCAAAATAAAATAAAAATTATGAGGAGATTAGGGTCCCAAGAGAGTACAAAGAGTAGGCGTTTGTCTTGCATACAGCTCACTGTGGTTCCACCACTTGCACTTCTTATAGTACCCTCAGCACTGCCAGGGTCCACTCCAAGGCAGAGAGCCAGGAACAGTGCCAGAGAATCTCCTCCCCCAAAAGGTCCAATCTTAGCCCTCTTCCTATGTTCCTTCCCCTTCTATATCAGTCACAGCACTTGGAACACTACATGTGCGGGGGTTCCCCCACCCCATCCCCATGCCATTCTTGGCATTACCAGCTTAGGACCCTACAACTTTACAGTTGAAATTGATTCTGGCACTCGGCCTGGAGATACCATTAGCCCCCACAGTCTGAGCTCCATAAGGTTCTATTCTCCCTGATTTCAGCCAATTCAAAGTCTCCACTGTCTCCTGGGCTTGTGTCCTCGCCATTGTAAATCAGAGATTCCCGTGATCCTCTTCAGGTTCCCTTATGGGACCACAGTGACTCACAAAACTGAAGAAGCCCATTTGCGGACTTACTGTTGACCTGTTTCTTAAAGGAGCTGATAAAAGATAGCGTGGAAGAGATACACAGGGTGAGGTCAGGGAAAGGCCCAAGTACGGAAGTTTCTCTCCCCCCATGGTGTCGGATTGCTTCACCTTCCCAGCCCATAGCAAAGGTGTATTCTCCCACCTGGAAATTCTGCAAACTTGGAATTTTTATGGAACTTCGGTGAAGCCGACCTGCTTGATCATTAACTTCATTTTCCAGCCCTTTCTGACCTCTCTGGTGACCCGTGGGATGAGTGTGAAAATTCCAAGCTGCTAATCAAGGACTGGTGTTAGTGCCTGGGCCCCATTCAAGAGTCCACCAAGAGTCACCTCATTAGAACTAAAGACGCTGTTATCAGTCAGGAAATGCCAAAGAATTTAGCGGCTCTGTGTCAGGCACTGGGATAGGGTGGGGAGAGCAGAGGTCAAGATCCATATGTTAGAAAAAAAGATGCTCCTTGTGCTTTTATCACTTAGGAAATGATTGGGGCTTTAGGAGGTCAGTCACAAGGACGGGGGCATGGAGACCAATATACCTAGACACATACATATATCTGTATATCTAATAGCAAATCATGGGTGGTGCTAAGGTTACTCCTGACAGAATGCTGTAGAAAAGCATAGATCATCCATAGCATTTTGTATTTAGCTATATGTATTCTTATAGTATTTTCCCAACAAGATTCTTAGCTTTTTGGAAACAGGTTCTATGTTTTCTATCAATTAATGCTACTCTGTAGATTGTTTTCAGATCCTAACAAGGGGAATTATATGGCTCAAGATGAAGCCTTTCCCATATTTCTAAACTATGCAGAGATCATTTTCATGTCCATAGAATCTTTTTGAAAAATTAGATTTGTTTTTGGCCCACACCTAGTGGGGGCTTAGTCCCGGCTCTGTACTTAAGGATCATTCCTGGTGGGGCTTGGTGCTAGGGATTGAACCTGGGTAGGCTACATGCAAGGCAAGTGCCTTATCCACTCTACTATCTCTCCAGCACTGAAAATTGCTGTGCATGAGTGATTAAAACCTTTTTGGAATAGTTTGTTTTTATTATTTTATACAGCGGTAGGGCATTTGCCTTGCACGCAGCCAACATGGCCGACCCGAATTCAATTCCTCCGCCCCTCTTGGAGAGCCCGGCAAGCTACCGAGAGTATCTCGCCTGCACGGCAGAGCCTGGCAAGCTCCCCGTGACGTATTCGATATGCCAAACACAGTAACAACAAGTCTCACAATGAAGAACTTACTGGGCCCACTAGAGCAAAATTGATGAACAACGGGAGGGCCTTTACTTTTACTTTACTTTATACATTAGTACAACATGTGTTGGATATCTTTAGAAAAGTCCTAACCCATACATTTTGAGAAGCATTACTTTACTTTCTACTACATTTTACCACACCTGTTGATAACCAGGGCTTATTTCTGACTTTGCATTCATGGATCACTCTTGGTAGTGCTCAGAGAATCATATAGGGTGCCAGGAATTGAACCTATGTTGGCTGCGTGCCAAGCAAATACTTTACTGCCTATACTATCTCTCCAGGACCACAAGTAATATCATGGGGAAAATGGTCCCAGTACAGTAAGAGGAAGGACAGTAAGAAGTAGAAAAATATTTTATGTATATGACTGAAATATACAAGCAGAATTACAGACATTACTATTTATTTGGGATTTATTGCAGATGATAAACAAATGATAATTTATAACATCATTTGGTACTAAAGTAAATTATGTCTTTAAAAAGGAGAAAGAAGGGGTTCCATGTTTGCGTTTCCACCACAGAATAAATTTGGTTTGTGAATCTATCATATACACAAATTTACTTTAAAGATATTTAATGAAATCCTTCTTTCACTTACAGCTTTTAAATATATATATATTTTATACTTTAATTTTGCACCATATAATGCTGATTCTTTTCTGGGGAAGGGGCTGGTGAAGGGCACACCCAGATGTGCTCAGGGTTCAGTCTTGGCTTTATTTATCCTCATCCTATGCAGTGCTTGAAGGATCACATGGGGTGTCAGGGACTGAATTCTGGTCGGATACATACAGGGTAAATGCCTTAAACTCTGTTCTATGTCTCTGGCCCTAATACTGGATTTTTTTATGTTTTTGTTTTTTTCAATTAGCAATAATCACGCCTTGGATAAACCTCATTGGCTACAATACTGACACTGCAGCACAGTGGTAGGGCATTTGCCTTGCACACAGCCAGGCCGACCAACCCGGGTTTGATTCTTCCTGCCCTCTCGGAGAGCCCGGCAAGCTACCGAGAGTATCTATCTCACCCACACAGCAAAGCCTGGCAAGCTTTCTGTGACGTAATCCATATGCCAAACACAGTAATAAGAAATCTCACAATGGAGACATTACTGGGCCTGCTCGAGCAAATCGATGAACAATGGGAGGACAGTGCTACAGTGGTTTTTTTTTTCAATGTATGACAGGCATTTAGATATACTTTGAGAGGGGTTTGGGACATAGTACTCCCGGTCATGTACCAGAACCAGAGTTCAATTCCCAACAGCACATTGTTCCCTGAGCATCACCAGTAACAGCTTTTCAGACCCCTTGGGTGTGACCCTAGAAGCCCCCAGCACTTCTGGTGTGGGCCCAGGTATCCCCAGCACGGCAGGAAATGAGCAATATGGCATACGTAGGCCTCTGCACCAATGACCAGTCTAGCTGGAATCACTTGCAGGGCTCCATTACCTCCTGAGCACTGCTTGGGAGGCCTCCCCAAAAGTATAACTTTGAGATGGGGAGTTGGAGAAACAGTCAGAGATTAAGACACTTGCCTTGCTTGCAGCTGATGCCAGGGCAATGGTTTGAGGCTTAGCACTGCATGTGATTCCTGGAGTACAAAGTCAAATGTAGTCCATGAGCACTGCCAGGTGTGCCCCAAAGCTACCCAACAAAAATAGGTTTTGGGGCAGGGGGTGCTAGGTATCAAACCCATAGGCATGTTCTTTACAACTGTGCTGCATTTGGGGCACCTAAGATAGTGGATTTAATGCTGTGTTTCACACGTGTAACCAAGAACAAAGAATGTTCTAGAAACTGTGTTGCCTGATCTAAAAACAAGTAGAAATTATGTCTCTTCGCTAGTCTATCAATTCATTCAACATGGACTTGACACTTGTGTACCAGATATACGAAGATAGGCCGCAGAATGGAAATGCAATTTTAACTTTCTTGCAACCAGAAATCATCTTATTTTCTACCCCATTAATGCCAAGTAGTATATCCTGGAGAACGCGTTTATTTGTCAAACACCAGAAGACTAGTTCTGAATTCATAATTTTTTAAAAATGAGTTCTTCGTGAACAGGGGGGGATTAACCCATTTCCATATTCTAATACACTATAAGGTGGGGTAGGGAGAAGCAGAAGATAAGACTCCTGTACACCCCAATTACCAAAGAGTAAAAACATGCATATGAAAATCGCCTCCCAGGCAATAAAAATGATAATAGCTGCATCTGAGAAGTAGCATAATGGGTGACTTTTATTTTCTCTGTTTTTTGGAATATTTTATAATATATGACTTTCCTAATTAAAAAAATAGAGGCAAGTTCACAGAAACAGACATTTCACAAAAGAAGTAATTTCCCTAGTTCACAAATAGAAAGCTGTTCACACTTGCTAGTAGAGGCAGCTGTATGAAGCCAGCACCGTTGAGCAATTCTTTACCAGATTTGCAAAGAAACAACATATACTGGAGAGGAGGGTTTGATTCAAACCTTAGATTCTCTGGGCTTACTCCTGCCTCCGTGCTAAGGGGTTATTTCTGACAGTGCTCAGGGAGCCAGATGTGGTGTTAGGGATCCAAACCTAGGTCATCTGTGTACAAAGCAAATGGTTTTTCCCTTGTATTAGAGCTCTGTCCCTGAAACAATTTTTCTTTATTTTTCCTGAGAAAATTCAATTTTTTCAACTTTATTTAAACACCATGATTTACAAAGTTGTTTGTGATTTTTCAAACATTCAATACCTCAATCGCACCATCACTGTCACCTTCCTTCCGTCATTGTCCCCAATTTCCCAACCACCCCTCAAGTCTGCCCCCATAACAGGCTTATAATAATTTATTTTATATTGCTTGCAACCACTAAAGGGTTAATAGAATGATCAAAAAATACTTCAGTAAGGGGTTGGAATGATAGCACAGCGGGTAGACATTTGCCTTGCACGCGGCTGATCCGGGTTCAATTCCCAGCATCCCATATGGTCCTCTGAGCACTGCCAAGAGTGATTCCTGAGTGCATGAGCCAGGAGTAACCCCTGTGCATTTCCGGGTGTGACCCAAAAAGAAAAAAATGCTTCAGTACAAGAAAATTTGTGAAAGTTGTTGTATCTCACCATGGGGACATTAAGTCCTTGTTTGAGGGTTTACTAAACTGCTGATGCAACTTAAGATTTCCATGTTAATGTCTTTGTTAGTTGAGATTAGTTGGCATCTGTGCTGAAACAGCTTTTAAATAAAACCAAATGTTATTGAGGATGCATGGGAACAGGCATTGCATTCTATGGTAAGTGACATTGTAAATTGGCTGGACCTTTACCATGGGATGAATTGCATCCCCCCAGTTCATACAATCAATTCCTCACTCCCCAGCACCTCATTAGGTAACCTTCTAGGGAAATAGACTTAAGGCAGAGATCATTAGTTAAATTAGAATAATTGTCATGCTGGCCATAACCACAGTGAGACTGGCATATATCAAAAAGAATGATTTCAGGGGCTGGAGAGATAGCACAGTGGGTAGGGCATTTGTCTCGCACATGGCTGACCCGCTTTCGATCCCCGGCATCCCATATGGTTCCTCAAGCAGTGACAGGGATAATTTCTGAGCGCAGAGCCAGGAGTAACCCTTGAGCAATGCCAAGTGTGGCCACAAATCAAAATAAAAAAGAATGGATAGGTGAAGGGTGAGAGGGATAACAGTGGGTCAATGGTAAAAATAAGCAGACATTCTGGCAGAGGGTGCAGTGTTGGAATATTTTATGCATAAAACCCTGCCATGATCAATGCTGTAAATCATGATGCCTAAAATAATTTCTTTTTTCTTTTTTTGGATCACATCCGGCGATGCACAGGGCTTACTCCTGGCTCTGTACTCAGGAATTACTCCTAGCGGTGCTTGGGGGACCATATGGGATGCTGGGAATCGAACCCAGGCTGGCCATGTGCAAGGCAAGCGCCCTACCTGCTGTGCTATCCCTCCAGCCCCTAAAATAATTTCTTAAATAAAAAAATAAGATTGGAAACAAGCCCTCCCGTTGATCGTCGATTTGCTCGAGCAGTGTTGGCATGGATGTGGGGAAAATGGAACCCTCAGGAATATCAACGTTTGTTGAAAACAGTGTGGAGAATGCCCCCAAACTTAAGAACTAATTTTCCATATGACCTAGCAATTCTACTTCTTGGCACTTACCCTAAGGGCCTCCAAAATCTAATCTATTGTTTTTCACTTTAAGATTCTTTTAATTCAACAATATCAAATTCAATTTTAAAACATCCTATAAGATTTTGTGGTAGTAAGCTTTATTGTTTGGGGGTCTAGGAAGCACACATCCAGAAGGGCTAAGGACAGCATGTGGTACTAGGGTTGAAACCAGAGATCCCGCAAATGAGAGCGCTCTCGTCCTCAGCAATCTTCCCCACCTTATTTTCAAGGCTTCTCCTTGCTTAGTAATCTTCCTCCTGTAGCTGATCTTCTGGAGCAATTGGTTAAGGGCAGTTGAATTGGTGAAAATGATGCAAATTCTGAAGCCACTGAGAGCTCTATGTGATCGGACCATTCTTTGTTTTAAATAGTAGACTTGATAATGCCTCTTCTAGTGCTTTGTTTCTAGTATAACAGAACCATACAACTATTTTTACTCACACGCTCTATACAAGTTTATGCAACTTTTTGTGACATTTCCAAATTTCCTTCAACAAAGCAGATATTCTAGGGACAAAATCTTTTCAAAATGACTTCCCATTTTCAAATCTCAGTGGGATCCACAGAATGCTCAAATTCAGCCTCAAGAATCTTTGTCAAAACAAAAGAAGTGAGTTAATTTACTGCTGCCCTTTCTCTTTCCCTTAACATAACAAGCGATTTTACTTATACTGTCATTTGAACACTTTTCTATTTAAAAAAAAAAGAGAGAGAGAATGATTGCGGTGTTCTTTTCTATTGAATCACCGTGAGACACAGTCACAAAGCTTTTATGTTTGAGTTTCAGTCATACAATGATCAAACACCCATCCCTCCACCAGTGCACAATTTGCACCACCAATGTCCCCAATATCCCCCCCCCACACACATCTCACCCCTCCTTCTGCCTCCATGGCAGACAATTTTCCCCATATTCTCTCTTTTGGGTATTATGGTTTGCAACACAGATACTGAGAGGCTATCACGTTTAGTCCTTTAACTTTCAGCATACATCTCCCATCCTGAACAATTCTTCCAACCATCATTGACTTAGTGATCCCCTCTCTATTCTAGCTGCCTTCTCCCCCAGCTCATGAGACAGACTTCCAACTATGGAGCAATAGTCCTGGCCTTTGTCTCTACTGTCCTTGGGTGTTAGTCTCATATTGTTATTTTATATTCCACAAATGAGTGTAGTCATTCTATGTCTGTTCTTCTCTGACACATTTCACTTAGCATGATATTCTCCATGTTCATTCACTTATAAGCAAATTTCATAACTTCATTTTTTCTAACAGCTTTATAGTATTCCATTGTGTAGATGTACCAAAGTTTGTTTAATTAGTCATCTGTTCTCAGGCACTCGGGTTGTTTCCAGATTCTGGCTATTGTGAACAATGCTACAATGAACATACAGGTGCAGATGTCATTTCTACTGCGTTTTTTTGAAACTTCTGGATATATTCCCAGAAGTGGTATTGCAGGGTCATATGGAAACTAAATTTCTAGATTTTGAAGGAATGCCCATATTGTTTTCCAAAAAGGCTGGACCAGTCAGCATTCCCACCAACACACTGTGGTGTTCTTAAACTCCTCACTGGTTTCCTTCCCAGAGAAGCACACATTTTAGCATTGCTGTTGACAGCCTTCACTGTTATTTATTATTATTCCTAGTTTTTTAAAAAAAATTGTGTAAGGTTTCCTTTGGTCCTCCTTTAGTTGAAAAGATCTCTTCCCATAGTTTTTGGGGAAGCAAAG